CTCCTGCTGCTCCTGCCGCTTCTGCCGCTGCGCGCCCGCGCCGACGAGCACGAGCACACGGTGAGGCGGCGCCCGGCTTCCCCGGGAACGGCGCTCGGGCCGCGGCCCCGGTGGCGCGGAGAGCGCGGTTCGGTGGGCGGGAGGGACGGGGAGCGTCGGGCCGCGGCCTCGGGRGGAGCGGGCGGCTCCCGCCCCGCGGGGCTCCCTCCGCGCCTGCTCCGCTGCTCGGGCTGTTCTGGACGCGCGGGCCGGAGTCGGGCCCCGCGCTCCGGTTCGGCGTGAGGGGAACACTGGGACGCTCGGGGCAGGGCCGCCGGGTTCCTSTGATCCGGTTTGCACATCCTTGTGCGGCCGGGCGCGGTGTCCCACCTTTTCCTGGAGCAGATAAACGCCCCGGCAGGTACGCGTGCTTTGTTTGGAGAGCGCTGTTTGCTCTGCCCTCTGCTTGGGAGGATGTTTGTTCTTGCCTAACAGCACAAGTCCGAGCCGGAGCGCGATCGTGACAGCCCCGCGGGACAGCCGGGATGACAGCTCGCCTCGGGGAGAGYCAGGGATATTGAGGGAATGGGGAGTGAGAGCAGGGCGGGGACATTGCCATGGACCTCCAAGGAAAATGGGTGCATAACATACATGATTGGAGTGCTTGCTGTTGGCGCAGAGAGTAGTTTTTCTAAAGTGCGTGCAGTATTACCCCAAAAGACAATCTAGAAAGTAAATACCAGTGCTTCATCCCTTTGTGATTTTACATCAGAATGTAGTTTCCCATGTTTGTCAGTGTGAGAAGGTGGAAGTTTGTGCAAGAGGCTRAGATGTGATTTTGGAATGAGACCTCCCTGAAAACCATCTCTGTTTCCTGCAAAGTGGAGTGGGTTAGAACGTGGATGTGATTAAGCACCGGGTCTGCCTGGCTGTCAGGACTTTCTATGCTYTTGGCTGGTAAACACTTGCTGAGTTTCTTAACATAGTTTTCTCTAGGTCAGGTGTAGTATGCTTACCTAGTGTTCTTTCTTGATAAAACCGATAAATAGTACTGATAGGTTTTGTGCAAGTGGTAGATAATTCCTTGCAGTTTTGAGGACTTTAAAACTGGTTAGGATTGTGTTTATTTTTTAAAAAGGGAAAGGGATTTATTGGTGCTGCAGTTAATGACAAAGAAGTTAATYTAATACTAAGTACTTTTAAGGAGCACATATTCTTTGAACTAATTTAGATCCCAGTTTTGTTGCTGAACCAGTGCTTTAGAGTTAGGCTTCTGCTGAGGTGGGATGGTTTTCAGCGTAGTACTCTGTTTATTTTAAGGGCTGGTTGACTTGAGGGATTAGTCATTATTAAATTAATATTGTAATTTTCTAGGGAAAAAAAATAAAAAGCTGTCATTGAATTTATTAGGTTTTGAGCTTTCCTTTCAAAAGTGATTTCTGATGTTTTTTAGGTTTTTTGAATGATTACCTAAACAATAACCAATGGAAATCACAAATTCTTTTTAAAGGCTTGTCATTTTTTTCATCTAAACTAGTCAGTTCTGAGGGATTATAACCCTATTTTAGTTCAGTATTCTTGTTCACATGGTGTCCAGTTTATTAGCATCACATGATAGGTTTGGAATAGTTGGTGTAGAAAGACASCTACCTTTTTTTGGAAGGCTGTCTCCTTGCTTAGATATGGAATGGAAGCATTAATAGCATGAATGAAACATGACCAGGGTTTTGTAGTAGTATACTGATTCTGAGATAAAGAATGTGAAGGAAATATTCCTTAAATACTGCATTTTAATTAATTTCAGTTTTAAATATGATTGCAGTTAGAAGATTAATTTTCTTATAATCAAAGTGCTTTATTACATTTTGAAGGYTCTGCTCACTTTTGGAGAAGTGAAAGGGAAATTTAGGATTTGGTAATCTCAAATTAAATTTTCACTGACTTTTAAGACTGAAGACCTGTTGGTAGGAATACACACTTTTATCCTGCCATTTCCTTAGCATGCAGCTCCGTGTGCGCAGGCACTTGGCCCGCCTGGGGGAAGATGTGCTGGTGCATCCTGACACAGTTGACTTTTAGCTGCAGTTGTGCAGGGTGTTGTCAGTGCTGAGCATGCTGCACATACAGAAGTGCTGCCTTAAGCTTTTAATGCTGCTGTAACATGAAATAGTAAGCAATATGTGTGCTGTAATATGTATCTTTGTATTAAYGTATATTGGCTTCTAGTATTTTATATGTCTCCTTTATAATTGTGGACTTCTAAGCAAATATAAAAGGTAATTGTGAGAGGATTCTGCATGAAGCTCTAGGTCTATAAGYACTGTTACTTCTGGATACACAAGATATGGATAGTGTCATTGAATCAACAGTTGTATCTATCTTAAAATAGAATTAGTTTTAAAAATGACATCTGCATTTCTTTGGAGAAAGAACAGTATAAATACAATTATAAGATAAARAATGGGTATTTAAAATCAATAGTAAGTGTAGAGAAATTTTTGGCTCGGTATTTAAAATCTCCTTTGTCAAAAGACAGTACAGCGGCATAATTTCAGACCACAACAGGATTTTTTTTTGAGGAACAAGAGCATAAATACAATTATAAAATAAAGAACCTGGGTATTTAAAATCAATAGTAAGTGACATTTTTTACTTTGGGATTTAAAATCTCCATTGTCAAAAGACAGTACAGCGGCATAACTTCAGACCACAACAGGACAGTTTGTCAGGAACTAACTGAAAACTTGTCTGGTGATTCTTTAACTTATTTTCATGATTCAGAGCATGTGATGTACTTGCTTCTTGCCTGTATTCTAATAATTGCACCATTTTTTGACAGTTGTCCTTTTATTTGTGGAAGTGATAACATCAGTGGGGTACTGGTGGTCTTACCACAATGTATGCTGATCCTGCAGAAACARGGCTGGGGGGCTCCTGCCTGGCCTTTGCTGTCACATCTTCTGTTGCTAGACTTGTTGGAATTGATGATGAAATAGTCAAGCCATAAAACATTCTGAAATATCCTGTGGTTTTTGTTGCAGKGGAATGGTCTAGGGAGTAGGTAGCATTTTAATTTTAACATTGCTTCAGTTTAATTGTCTGTGCTGTGTAAGCATGGAAATATATTAAAAACATTGAAAAATAAACAAAACCTAGCCTTTTGTGTAGCAAAATTCCTAATTTATTATGGTTGAGAAAAGGATTTTTGCTTGACTTACATCCCAATGAAGTATGTTAAAACCCTCAGCATGTAAGGCTTATTTAAAATAGTATGTAAAAATAGGAACTTCGTATAGATTCTAAAAATTGTCAGTTAGTGAAACCCTGTGGAAAATATTTCACTGAATGTAAAATACTTATTTGCATATGAAGTTGTGTGCAGATGAGCAGCTTGACTCCTCTTAGAAATTGTGTTTCCATTTTGAAGAGGTGAAATAAATGTCATGGAAGAAGGACGTGGTGTGCCTGAGCAATCCTGTGCATCTGGGAAGTGTAACAGTAAAAGTACTGCGTGTACAGTAGCTCAGCCTGTGCCATCAGTGCAGTTCTAGCCATATCTCGGTGAGGCCTACAATCGGAGAGAAATGGAGAAGTCTTACTAGAAATAGCCTGCTTTGTCCAAAGGAAAGCATGAGGCTGAAATCCACAGTTGAATAGGGTGTGAATGTGAGCTGCAAACACTGAGTGTTATCACAGTGCTTGATAGATAGAGTATCTGCAAGATACTGAGGACTACAAGCCTGGGATATTACTTGCCAGGTTAGTCTTGCTTGCTGCCTCTTTTATTTCTTATCCTGCTTCTMCTTTGTTCTGCCAGTAACAGATAATGTTTGTCTTTTTCTTTTCCCTGAAAGATGTGAATTGTGGAGAGTGCATTTGAGATAAAGGAGTAAAATTGCATACTTTCTGAAAGAAACTGTCTTGATTTGAATTTATTTTGCTGAATCATCACATGAGATCTGGCAGTTGTAATCCTGTTTTTGTCTCCATCTTTTRTTTTGCCAAGTGTTTTCCAGGTTTAAAGAAGAATTTTAACAACCAGACAGTCTCATATCCTTTTCTTCAACCTTTTGTGTATTGACTTAATCTAGCTTTAATTGTTTTGTAGAATGGRTAGTCTTTTTTAGAGTTGCTGTGCTAATTTCTACAGTTGTGCAAAGAGAACATAAAGTTACTTTCTATATCATGAGTGCCCTGTTGGGTAACAGGAAAGAAAGATGCACGTGCTATACTGAAGGTAGTCTCAGTATTGCTATACTTGAATAGTTTTTAAACTGTATAGATGTACAGAAATTGTATTAAGCCTCAAAATGGTGCACACCCCAATTTTTCATGAGTTGTATTACATGGAAGAGGTCCACTCCAGGCCAGGTCAGACTGAGCAGCCAGGGAACTGGAGCGGACCCATCAATATCRGCAACAGGGCAGAGCTGCAGATGGGTTGGCTGTGATTTTAGCTTGCACGGCCCACATCCCTGCAGCCCAGTGCTCTGAACAGGCAGTGTAACCATATTGTGCTGCTTTGGAACATATGTCCCCAGATGTGATGAGGGTTATAGATGATATGTYGATGCACTTGAGGTGCAGGTTGGTCCTCCACCAGCTGGTTGGCAATTRCAGGAAAAAGTTTCTGAAGGTTTAGCACCCTTAAATCAGACTGTAACAGCTATATAGTAGGTAACTTGTGTTGATGCTGACTGAGACTTTTCAGGCTGCATCTGTAAATATGTCATTATCTACTCCATATAGTTACTGAAATTACTGAGCTGTTATTAATCCTAGTGCAGAAAAATATGCAAAGCTTACAGACATTTTTTCATAAATTACAGTAAGTGAAACATGAATAAAATTGTGCTTTGTAGTCTTCTCTCATATGTAGAAGTACTGAGCCATATGATTTGCAGAACCATGACCAAGTTGTTAAATGTTTATGTCTGTGAATATAATTAGGATCTCTGAGCTATATGCAATATATTATCCCTTCATATGAACCAAAATCAGAAGAGCTTGCTGAGATATGCCAGAGTACAGACTGCAGCATCTTACTTGTTGACCTTCTTTGCCTTGTCATTTACTATGTTCATTTTGCCTTATTTTCTCTCTTGTAGTGTGACCTTTTCGCTGAAAGGTGTGTTATATGTAAGGCATCTCAAAACCTATCAGTCCTCATAAACARGTGACAGTACAGTCTCCTACAAGATATTCTAGTGCTTTGTCATTCCTAAATAAGYTTTCCTTTGTGTTGACACTGTTATTTGTTTTAGATGTTTTGATACTATGAAGGCACTAATTAAAAAGAAAAGAAACCAAATAAAAAATCCCCACCAAACTGCCACAAACTTGAACTCTTAATTAAACTGTGTTCTTGCCACCAAATTACCCCACCACTAGGCTAAGAATGTGGCAGGAAAGAATGGCAGGAAAATTCATTTAAAAGTGAAAGCTCATCTTTATAAATGACAATGAGCAAAACCTAACAAATGTAGGGAGAAAAAAAGTCCTTGAGTTTCTAGTAGACAYGACCCCCAAGTTGAAGCTGAAGTTGCTTAAGTTGTTTTGCTTGCTGCAGCACTSTTAATTTGGGGAGGCAACAAGGAGCACCTGATAGCAAAGGGYTGTGATTAAGGATTGCTTTGAGTGAGGTGTAGCCTGAGCTGGCTGAGGTACTGTGTTTGTTTATGTAGCAGTCCTGTACAGATTTMTCTTGTGCATTTCTGGGATAGTTGTGAGAAAGTAATAAATGCAGACTGAATTCTTGGCTTATGTTTTATCTGGCCCCTTTTCTCTCTAGAGCAGGCTGATGGCATCTTGGAGTCATTGTGGGAAAAACTTGTAAGCCCTGAGGGACTAAACACCATGTGGATAAGAGACAAGCAAAGACCAGATTTGTTATTGCAGATGTTGTAATTACTAATTAGTTACATTAGTAGTTCAGAAAAACATAGCAAGATTTTACATATTATTATTAACAGTTCTTAACTGTTATTTTCTGCYTCTTCTGTCACTTCTGGTATAGTTCCAAAAATATGGAGGTTCCAGTTCAGTATGAAGCAGGTCAGAAACAAGCAGTGATCACAAGCAGTGGTCAGTGCTTTCTTTATTCAGGCACTATCAAAAATGAACTCACAGATCTAAGGATATTGTCATATTCTATTACTGAAGGTTGAACAGAGACATAGGTCAACTCACATGTAAGCTGTTTGGTACAGGTTGTGCCAAAGTGGGCTCTTGACAAGTTAAGACCATTTTGAGAAAGGGCTGGAAATATGTTCTGCAGCTGTTAGAGGAAGAAGCAGGAGACATGATAGACATAACAGGCTAGGAAGAGACATGGACCAGCTTGTCCCGTGCTCCCTTGGCAAGAGCTAGAGGCAGATTTGAAGTGCAGATTCCATTATCTGCTTCTGTGGCTGAGAGTGTTGGAACTGTGATTATGCTTTTTTTTTGTTTTCTTTCCCAACTTTCTTTGGAYGGCTGCTGCACTGCTATAACCTTTCTGGCTGCTGGCAGAGAGGAGGAATGTCTGCTTTCTCTTGCTGTGTTGTTTACTTTTTCTTTGAGCCTTTTTTGATACTCTTTACCTGTCAGAAATGTTCTGAAGTATGTGCTCTGCAAAGGTGCAGGTTTGTGAAACCGATAAGTGCTTGGTCTCTGCTGCAGCTCAGAATTAAATTAGTAAGGTATTTCAAGTTTCTAGTTGGAAATCACTCACATAAGAAGCTGAAATGACCCTTGTACATCTTGRTAAACAAAAATGATGAGCCTTTAATTGAGATGGCTTTTTAATTTAAAGGGATTAAATTATTTTCCAAAGCATGTTTGTTTAAATCCTTGCATTTAACTTTTAMATACCTCATCTGAAGAATTTTTTACATTGTGCATGTACCTAATTATTTCTGCATTAACCTCTTGGTATGAGTGTAGTTGTTCAGAATAAGTGAAGAACCTTAATTTGTTAAAAAGGGAGATGCAGAATTGTATTCACTTGTCTTCTATAGTGGAAAAAGTTAGGTCTAATTAACCTTTTACTTTCTTTTCCAAGGTRTTCTGTGTCTGTGTTTTGGTCTTATAATAGTACTTTATTCTTCTGTACCTAAAAAATATCAGGACCTATACAGTGATTTACTTGGATGTGCATGTAGTTATAAAGTAGGGGGGGTTTTCTGCCTTTTAAGTTTTATTACTGTCCCAGTCCCTTCTGTTGAAATTATAGGTGAAGAAGTTGTGTGGGTTGAGAGGCTTTGTGYAGTAATCAGCAAAACTGATACCTCATCCAGATGCATACAGATATAATCCAACTAATTTTTCTRAATTTGTCCAGTATTTCAATACTGGTAGATTAATGACTTTAAGTACTTTTTTTTGTTGTTTTGAAGTAATAAGGGCTTGAAAAAAATTACTAGCTCCTAGACAAGGARTATGATTTCCTGGCTAACAGTAGTTGTGGAAAGTGAAGAGTGAATGTTCCCAGAAAGAATTTCATGGCAGCCCCAGACTCCTTGCTGTTCTGTTTTTTTCACTGTGAGAATGTTGGAAATGCATCAAAATACAGTTCTGTCTGACTTTGGCTCTTGGTTACTGTAGGTATGCAACAGTTTAATTTTAGTGCTTCCTGTGAGGCATTGTGCTCTTCTGGGAATTTTGAATGCATTTTATACCCTYGCTAAAATGAAAGGGAGCTGCATTTTAGGAAAATACAGTATATCTGTCAATATGTGTAGATTGCCTGACTTCTTTGCTAAGATCTTGTTTAACAAGGCATTCATTTGGTGTTTCCATTCTTTCAGTGGAGATAAGCWGAGTTTTGCTTCTAACTTCTCTGTGTTTTCACAAAATTAGTAAAAGCCTATTCATTTTCAATACTTCTGCTTTTTTCACTTCCGCTCACTGCATCTTCTACTTCTCTCTGAAATCCCCCTCATCTGATACTTCACTGATAGGCTTTAAGAAACTGTGTGATCAACTAGTCATTTTTTTTGGTAAGAAAACAGACTGAACATTTTACCCTAGAATCCCCGTCATGCAGAAGACAAAAATGCTCAGCTGTCTTTGAATGTAACTGTTGCCTGTGATTGAATAATCCTGCCCTGCTAGTTAATATGAATGAGAGCTTGTGAACCTTTTTATTCTGCTTGGCTTCTCATTTAACTCAATAACTTTATCTTTCAGTACCAAGATAAAGAGGAAGTTGTTCTATGGATGAATACTGTAGGACCCTACCACAATCGCCAAGAAACATACAAATACTTCTCTCTCCCATTCTGTGTGGGATCAAAAAAAAGCATCGGCCATTACCATGAAACCCTAGGGGAAGCACTTCAAGGAGTTGAATTGGAATTTAGTGGTCTTGACATCAAATTCAAAGGTAAGTGATTCAAAGTACATTTAATCACTAAAAAAAATACATGAATCCTTCAAACTTGATCTTTTAATGAGAAGAACTGGAATTTTATTGCTGCTGGCAACTGAGTGCATTTTGTGTTGTTGTGTGGTACACCCTGCAAGGTTGTGTACTGCCACTGGCTTTTGAGTTTACAGTTAAGTTTCCATCTGTGTGCCCTTGAAGGAATRTGCTTGCAGCAGATACGTGCTTCTGAAGTAACTGATATAATTTTGCAAAGTAAAACTAAGCTTTCTGGATATGAAAGTTTACATATTTACTGGAATTCATATTCTGCAATTATCAGTTCTGAAGATGTAATTTTTTCCTGTAATTTTGAATACTTGCAAGCTCACTGCAGTTGCAAAGGATTAGCAAGGGCTCATCATCTCAAAGTTCTTCCTCAACACAAAGTTGATGATCATATCCTTCTGGTTACAGTCTAGTTTAAAATAACTTTTACAAATGCCTTTACAGTATTGTTTCTAACTCATCATATGCCAGTCAGGATGGAGTAGAATGAAGATGGTCTGRTTTTTTTTCCTGTTGTTTCCTGTCATCATCATTTTGCCATGCTGTTCCAGAGAAGACATTTAACTTTGATTGCGAATACATTTCTTTGTATTAAGGCCCGAGTCTTCTATTTCATAATTCCTCTGTGTGTGTCCTTTCAGATACTTGTAGCTAGTACTTCCAGAGCTTCAAATAATGACAGATAGAATTTTAACGTTTATGTATTTAATTCGTGTTTCTGTGTCTTTTTCCTCAAAACACTGCACGTTGTTGCATCATAAGTGCTTAACTGGATGGAGAACTTAAGCATAGTATCTCTTGTCTAAGCATTTACAATCAGATGGGATTTAATTTCTCTAAGCTGTAAAAGTTTTTATCCAAAACTGGACATGCGCAAAATAAGAGACCTAATAATGTTTCTGCTAGCAGTAGGATAAGTGAAATAAAAGACTTTTAGAAAGTTTGCCGATGCCTTAAATTCTCCATAATTCTTTGATTTGCATAGAGGATAGCATTGCCTCATTAAAGAAGCTTGGAGTTCCTTTTTAAGAAAGAAGCAGTACCTGCACAAACACTGGAAAACAGTCCTTCTACTGGTCTGTAATACCTGTAGTGTGCTGAAGATTTTACTCAATGTGGGAGAAATCGTTTTCTTGTCAAACCTCATAGAAAGTGCTCAGAAACACGAAATGGAAAGAACAGTGAACGCAASTGGCAGCAATTCAGCCCAATGGTGAAGATTAATCAAAACTTCTGTTATCAGAGTGTGATAAATATTTGTTTGTACAACCAGTTAGATGTGTAGTTTTTACTTCCTTTAAGTACCCCAGCTTTACAAGAGATTCTTKTATTCCTCTGACAAATATATTCTCTAGGTGGAGCACCGAATTGAAAAGACTAGAAGGTCTGTGAGTTGGTGTTTGCTGCTGTGATATAGCCAATGCATAAATTTAAAATAATTTAATTATCATTATTAACACCTTGGAGCTTAGTATAGATTGGTAATCTGTAATGGATCTGCCGTGAATTTAACTCCCAGCCAAAGTAGCTGCAGGTCAGATGTTTTCTGTAAAGCAGATGGTACTTGGTAACTGGTTGATTGTAAGTATGTGTACATGATCTCTGAAGTTGTACATGTACATTCGTAGTGTTTCCCCTTGCAGTCTGTGTCTCCTGGATAAAAGATGAAGACAAGAATCTCTTTGCTGTTAACTGTCATCCAACAACTTCTGCATCAGGAGCTGTTTTAGTATTTCTTGCAGTGGTCCATGAAGTGAAATCTGAATGGGAGTCAACTCTATTTTACTATCCTTAATCTGCTGTTAAAAGTATTAAAATACTCTGTTTTCCAAATTTCAGAGTAACAAGTATAAATTAATTGTAACCGTTCTTATTAGTATTCAATATGAAATTATGTAAAATTTGTGTAATCTAAATCCCCTTGATATACCGTTTTTTAAAATAAAGAAATAGAGCAGAAGATTGCAATGTGAAATTCATTTTTTAGAGGATTAAAAGCTGTCAAAAACCCAGTACAATTTGGGTCCAATTTATTTTTGTTGTGAAATGTAGATTTCATATACWTGTCCTTAAAGTTTAGCATTTGTCTAAGAATTAATTTCCAGTTTGGTTGTTGAAATGTGATGGTAGCTCATATTTTGTGTGACATTTTAATGGTAGACCTTGTTCTTTGCTGAAGTGGTGATCGCTTTTTTTTTTCTTTTTTTTTTTAGTAATTGTAACTAGATTATATCAGTGAAATAGAAATAATTTTTCTGTTAATGGATAAATTTTATCTCAGTGTGATTGATATATGTTTCACCTGTGCACCAGTGGTCCAGAAGTTGCTGCAGTTAAATTGAAACAGGGTGTTTCTGTGGGTGGTTTGGTTTTTTGGTTGGTTTTTGTTTTCCTTTTTCTTTTTTTAACAGCTAGAGACTTGCTTCGGTACCAGTAGATTAGTATGTTCTTAAGTAAAAGATACAGTTTCAAGGAGTGTTGAGTATCRAAAATCTGCAGCTAAAATAATTAAGTAATAAACCAGAACAGATTTTCTTCATGAATATGTGAACCTTATCTAAGTTCTGAGTTAAAAGGCATCTGTGCTTTATGTGTGTTTGGCATTATGGCAAGGTTAACAGTTGCAGGCATTCCTTTTATAAATTGAGTAGTGTATGAGTTTACAAAATTAAATTAGATTTGAACTTTATACTTTTATTTTTTTATCCTCTCAAGTGAGTAAAGGGGAAATAGATTTGTTCTAATAAATTAGCCTCTGCAATAAAAAGCAATTCCCTTCTCTGCACTGTTTGACTGGACAGCATAGCAAGTAAGTGTGAAGCTACATGTTGTTCATCRTATTCAAAGAATTATTTAGGCTGCAGCTGTTATTAACTTAAATATTAAACYGAGTAAGTAAAACTGGCAGTTGAATCTGTAGGCATTGCCTGTATTTTTTTACCTAGAACAAAAAAGTTACGATTCTGCAAAAATGTGCRCTTCTGAGAGTGAAGGTTTCCACGAATTCTTATAGTGATGACTGGGGGGCGTAAATCTACAGTGTATTTGAGACTCCATGAAGCAATGTTTCTTGTATGGAAATGTGGCATATGAAAGGATACTGCAATCATACARGATAGCAGGATTTTCCTTCTGTTACATTATGAACAATGTTTTTCTTATACCACAGGTCTCAAATCTGTATCAATATCTGTGTGAAGAAAGTAATGAGTTATACACTTATATTGTATTATAACTTCAAAGTTTTCAGTTGGCTTAATTATCTYGTCAAGCTAAATCTAGGATGATAATGCTTTTTAATTAATATGTCAAGTTCTTTACTCAAGTTTTTGAGTGGCATCCTCTGTTACACCTGAGACCTAGTAAGTTATTAAATGTATTGAACATTAGTATCATAGTGACTTCARTTAGAAAATTTATTTTTCATATTACCTTACAATGCCATTAGAGAAGATGAATTTAAAGAAGAAAAGGATGTTTTAAGAAAATTGAATTTTGCACTTCTTCAGAAATGTTACTAAATGGCCCTATTTCTAATGGCTAGTTCTTTTCCCAAACTTCCTTCTGCAACACCACTAGAATATATGGCAGCTGTTCAGGATGACATTCAGTGTTGTCAGGTATAATGAGGTTTTATGTGCTTTGTATGTTTGAATAAACATTGCTCTGACTGCTCATAGGATTTGAAATCTGACTACACACTTGTTTTTGTGATGTGTCATGCTTTCATGCTTTTACAAAATTTCCTGAATGTGCTACTGACGTTACTGAAGCTTTATTACATAGCAGATATTACCTCTGACATCCCTGATGCAGATACAACACATAATCTGCCTTTAACTTCATACTCCTTGGGTACACAACCAGCCATAACTTGGACAAGAATTCTCTAACATGCGCAAAACCTTAGTTCTGGTAAAGTTGTAAGGAAGTAGACATCAGGTTCCCCAAACACCAAATGCTGTTCTAAGCTTCTTTCATTTAATCATTTAACACAGTGGATTTAWGCTTGACCACCTAATCCTGTCCTGTAACTAAAGAACAGATTCATCTGGTAGTGGCTAGAGAAAGGAGCACTTGTCTTCATTCACTTGTTAGGGGGAGGTGAGGGGAACTCTACTGTGCAGTATGGCTGAGGGTGACATCATACTCCGTATGTGATGTCACACTTGTGTTTTGCAAGAATTGAATGAGATTGTTTCTAATGATTCTGCTGAGGCTTTGTGTATGTGCCCTGGAGCAACTTGTAATGTARTTAATCCAGATTTGATTGTATCTCTGTGATGTCTTCTGGTATTCTGAATGCTGGGAGTAAGATCTGTAAGAACAGGTGRAGACAGGTTTTCTGGTGGCACACTGATATTTGCAGCCTGGTGTCAATGTAGTCATTTCACTTCAAAATATATTTCAGAGTTTGGGTTTTTTTAACAGGAGCAAGCCCTACTGTTTATATCCTAAAGCATTATATGCTGTATGGCTCATTTCAGTTACAAAACAAACAAACAAAGAAGTGGCAAATTCCAGCAATCTGAAAGCCCATGGAGTAATTTGGAGTAGGTTACAGTCTACTACCTAATTTGTCTTGGTTATTAAATGCAAACAAAAGCTTCTGTATTCAGACTATAAAATGGGAAAGATCTCTAAAAAGAGCACTTGTAATTCATGTGATTTTTATTTTATTGGTAGCTCTTGTTCCTCTCCCTGTGGTGTCCTTTGGCTGTGCTGGTACCACTGTGAACCAGAGTCACCTAAAGCCAGCCTGGCCCCTATAACACTTCTCCAAAACAGACATCTTGCTTTGGTGCTGTGAAATGCTTTATTTAATAGCCTCTATCAATTTTTCTTTTACCTGTATTTTAATTCATGGCATATTTTCATTTGACTTGTGTGTTGAACAATCCTTTTGAGTAAAAAATGTATTAGAAAGATTAGAAAATCCTTTATTTCAATATAGTATGACAGTGAAGTGTCAAATATTTTGAAAAGAATCCCTACTTAGCAACAAATCCAGAAAATAATGATTCTGGGGTTTTTGGGTTGGCTTTTTTTTTTCCTTTTAATTAATGTCAAGACAACTTAAAAATCTGTTAAAATGAAAAAATGCCAAGCACAGAGGCATTTTTTGGGTTGGGAGAAATATAGTCCRAAAAGTATAGGATCTAGCTCAGTAGAAGCATAAGTGAAAATTGGAATTTTTAAGTCTTTTTCAGCTTAGTTGGTGCYAACTTTAGTGGGTTCCCACTCTTGGATGTACCAGTACGGGGCCAGAAAATGTTGTCCATGCTCTGAAAGTCTCGTACCTTTGTTGACTTGAATGCTTTTGCAATAAAACAGGCTGATTATACTAAAATCGAGGGATAATGTTGTCAACAGTTTTAGGTATTTGTTAATAGTTTCAGACCTCTTGTTCAAGAGGTCTCATGATCTGTTCAGGTAAATTTGCCATCAGCTTTTGTACCTTAATTTAGTCGGGTGAAGTAGCAAAAAAAWACTTTCCTTATCCAGTATGTGGGAAGCTTCTGCAGGGGAGAAGTGTAGATTTCTGAGAACAATTGTGTATTTGTTTTGAATGGTTCCTTTTTAAGTATTCTGTTTTGTTACCTACTTGAGGATAGCCAAGAGGGCWTGGAGATTTGCAATGTCTCTTCCTCCATTTGCTTGGCTTGCTTTGAGCCAGCTCATTAATAAATCTTTAACTGTGCTTAAATTKTTTGCAGATGATGTAATGCAGACTACTTACTGTGAAGTTGACTTGGACAAGGGAAGAAGAGATGCGTTTGTGTATGCTATCAAAAATCACTATTGGTACCAGATGTATATTGATGACTTGCCAATATGGGGTGAGTGATATTATGCATTAATAACTGGATTACACCTACTCAAGTCCTGTGCTAATGGGTTTCATGGAGTCAAGTAACGACTAAACTTCATTAAAATAATTGCACAAGAGTATAAAACTTAYATGCCAATCAAATTCACAAGAATAYGAAACAAAGTAATAGAGGACACAGTCTTATGCTGCACCAGGGCARTGCCAGGTTTAACATTGGGAGGAATTTCTTCACAGAAAGGGTGATTAGGCACTGGAATGGGCTGCCCAGGGAGAGGTGGTGSAGTCACCATCCTTGGAGGTGTTTAAGGAAAGAGTGAATATGACACTCAGTGCCATGGTCTAGGTGACAAGGTGGTATTAGGTCATAGGTTGGACTCAGTGATCTCAGAGGTCTTTTCCAACCTAGTGAATTCTGCATGAAATAAATTGAAGGATTATTGCATTGAMAGAACAGGATGGCTATACTAGTGAATTACAAAAACAGTGGAAAGCTGTTTCTCAATCACTGATTTAATAACAGTAAGTTCTTAAATTTGTTCAAGTGTTCAAGTGAGTGCTAATTAGATAGGTTGCACATAAGGTCCATGTTATTGTGATCACGAATAACAAGTTCCATAAAATTATTTCAGAATTTAAACTTTRTTTTGCTTCTTTATTACTAATGCAAAATCTGTTCAGTTGACTTATGGTAATTTATTGTCTGTTACCAGTGTTGCTTGTGTAGTGTGTGTTTATATGGAGTTTTGTTTYACTTGTTCCTTTACAGTTCTCAAAATTTCTCTTGCTGAGTATTATTAATCTGGGTTTATAAGTGCTTATGTCTTGAATAAAAATGTGTGTATCTTTATTGCCATTATCTCCTAAGGGCCCTGTGTTTTGTTGCTCCCTCATAACCTGTGATCATACATCTAGCAAAGAGTGCTCTGAGATTGCACTATGCACTGATAGTCAACCAAGCTCCCCAAGGCCTGATCTTCCTGTTGTAGATATAAACTGTATGTGATCTTTGATCTTGACATCAAAGGTGACACTTGCAGCGTGTGACTGGTTGACTCTTAGACTTTTTCCCCCAGCACAGTGCAGTCTCTGGAATTCTTCTGTAGTAGATGAGACATTTTGCGCTAACTTACTGAAAATGAARAGCTTAATCATAGAACGATTTGGATGGTTTGAGTTGGAAGGGAACATAAAGATGTCTCGTTCCAACCCCACTGCCCTGAGCAGGGAYRCCTGCCACTAGATCCACTTACACAGAGCTCCCATCCACCTGGCCTTGAACACTTTCAGGGATGGGACATCCACAACTTCTCTGGGCAACCTGTTCTAGTGTCTCAACATCCTCACAGTAACAAATKTCTTCCTAATATAAAACCATATTTTTGRCAAGCATTGGAAACTTGTGTGCAAATGAGAGCAAAAAGCATGTGTTGGGAAGTCAACTAATGAGAATTACAGAGCAAAAGTAAAATTTTTAAGAGGAAGAAAAAGAAATTAATAGAAATTAGAGAGGTCTTGCTAAGTTCTGTTAAGGAAAATGATTCTGTATTTAGCTAGTTGTTGATCTGGTAAGAACTGCAAATAAAAGTAGAGGCACTGTTGTTGGGTCTTCTGCAATATTTGTAGCTGCATGCATTTTCTTTTAATGCCATTGCAAAATGCTTCATGGAGAGACCTGTGRATTGAAATCTGAGTCCAGGTGTTAGAAGTAAAACAAAGCACATAAGGTCTTCTGTGTTCTCTTTATATATGTTGCTTTTTTAGCTGGCAAAACTTTCATAATGCATATTTTTAAAATATGAATGCAAAATATCTGAAAAGAACTCCTGTAATAGGTGCTTACACTTGTTTCCTATGCAGGGATCGTTGGAGAGGCAGATGAAAATGGAGAAGATTATTACCTTTGGACTTACAAAAAACTTGAAATTGGTTTTAATGGAAATAGAATTGTAGATGTCAATCTGACCAGTGAAGGAAAGGTGAAATTGGTACCAAACACAAAAATCCAGATGTCATATTCAGTAAGTAATTTGGTGATGTGCCTGTAATAAAAAATTCTATGTGGCGAATAGCTCAAAAATAGGTACTTATGTACTACAATATGCGCTGATAAAGTTGGGCTATATTAGAGGAAGATGCATCTTCACACCTTCAAATATTTTGTTCCAGTGCTGAWAAACCTTGATAGATTTATTTATGACAAATGTAAGATTATGATTTTTGAAGCACACCAAACAAACTAGCTTCTGTAATGTGCAGAAAAGTGTTCTGCTGGGAAAGAAAGATACCCTGGTAGGATAGGGATTAGAAATATGGAGAACCCTCGAGTAGGTGCACATTGTGTTCATGTTTGGACTTCTGGCATTTGCATCRTAGAACCATTGGACTGGATTCTGAGCAAGGATAGGAATCCACTCCAAGCCTGTATGCTTTGCAAGCAGTTAATATCAAAATGTACTTCGTTTCACATTTCCAGTAGAGACTTCTAACTTACATAACATGATTAATAAGGTTTTAAGTTTCTTTTAGGATGTTGTTTCAGAGGATATTCTTGCCACAGTTGTATTTGTCTTGTGCTGAATAAGTTGTACAGTTTGAAGTGTAGCTAATAAGTTGTATAGTTAGAAGTGTAGATTTTGTGTGTGCTCTTTAGAATTACATTTAATCAAATCTCCCTATTTATACTGCAAAATTCATAGCAGAATTGCAAAATTTGCTGTTTCAAATTCTGCCAGCATTGTGAAGTCCATTTGCTCGGAATTTTAAGTTGGACAGCACTGAGTAGCAGCCAGTAATGAAAATKATATTAGATAATCCCTTAAAATACTTTTTAGTGTACAAAGCTGAGGACTTTTCTATCCAATTCTATTGGCACCACTGGGCAATTGCTGGGCTGGCCTGTATGTGGTATTTAATTCACAGATTGTCTCTGGTGGATTTGTACTAAGCTGTGTTTCATAGTGGCAGATGCTCTATAATGAGAAAGGTATCTGCTTAAAACAATTGGAAAGCTATTAATGTTTTGAGCTGCTAATCTTGAACAAGGTTGTAATTTGAACTGAGGAACATTAATATCAAACCTCAAAGTAAGTAGTACTGGAGTCTTGAGGTTTTTACTATGTCTCAGGATTGTGGTGAGTGATTGGGGTATTCAGTSTACATTTATATGCTTTTTCACTCAGTAAGAGAACAGCTTTTGGAAAGGATAGTTTCTTCTTTCTTGTACCTAGATATATACAAGAGAGCTGCATTTATTTCAGTATCGCTAAAAATCCTGATCTTTTTAGATTTTGGCATGCTTTTGAAAAAGATTTTTGGTTAGGCTTGCATTTARTTTCTAAAATAGTTTTAATTTTTAAATGCAGTCTTGCAAAAATTCTCAAAAATACTTTGTGCTACCATATTAACACCACATAGTTCATTAATACAGTTACATTTTCCAAATCCAAAGCAGTCCCCTGGATAGCTGGTGGAGAACTGAGAGCAAGAATATGCTCTTACCCCATGACAGTATGTTCATAAACACATACTTTTCCAGCTGGTTGCAGAGTTACTTATTGGCAATTTAAGTGTCTAGGTTCTTATATATATATATACACATACACATATATATACACATATATATACACATATATATACACATATATATACACATATATATACACATATATATACATATATATATATAAGGTTTGTTGTATTTGACAACTGCAAGTTTTTATGTTGGTTAGCCTCAGAGAGACAGGGAGAAGTGAGGCAGTGGAAGACTGATTCTTCCTTGCTCTTAAACAGAGGCATGGACAAGATTAGACCCAGGAGGCGAGGTGGCTAATACTCATTCTATGCCTGACCTGTAGAGGCCAGTCTTTAAGAACATAATTCCATTATTTTTGCCAAAACATATTCATATTGAAGAAAACATCAAAAGTGGATGATTTTTAATATGTGTTCTGGATTTCTGCATGTATAGCTAAACGTACTGTAAAGAGCTTTTCTAAGATAAACTTTTCTCTCTTTAGGTGAAATGGAAGAAATCAGATGTGAAGTTTGAAGACCGATTTGACAAGTATCTTGACCCATCTTTTTTTCAGCACAGAGTATGTATTCTTCTAAGACAAARTATCCCTTTAAAATGATTGCTTTAGTTTAGATGTTACACAGTTTTTTCATCACATCTCTGAATTTTTGGATGTTCCAGGTGTTCTGGGATGATAAAACAGGGAGTTCTAGGACTGTTTTTTAAGTGATAGTGTTGCTCCTAAAACAGGATGGCTCCAGTTTTTTGGCAGGCTTACTAAATATGCAGACATGGTTCAAGCTTGCAAAAAATACAGGGCAGTTCAAGAAAACACATTCAGATGATCAGAAGTAATGAAGCCTCAGGGMCAGAACTGTGCAATGGTGTAAGCTGAATAAGTGTAGTTGGCCATGGGAATACTTCTTTCTGAAGTGAATGCAAAGCAAAAAGCATTAGCCTAAACCAGTTGATCTTATCAGTTRTGTTTAAATCTGTGGTTGTAATCTCCTTAAGGGTTGTGTGCTGAGCTGTGCTACTTTCTGAAAGTAGAKATTTTGCATTCTGTTTGGAGCTCASTGAAAACCAGAAGGATATGCTTTTGACARGAAAAATAATACTGCTGCACATTCTGATCCTGTGCAAAGCAATAGTTTCTTTGGCTTTTTGACTGTGGGTGCCTCTTTTGCTACTTAAACGTCTTCTCTCAGAAGGCAGCAGTACAATGTGTTGCCTTTTGTTTACCAGCAGAGCATGCCAGTTGTTCAGACTTTGCTGCTGCTTAAGTAAGTTGTGATAACTTTGTCATGAGCAAGGCTGGCTCTTTAAAAAGTTTTATGTATGGTATTGCACAGGCCAGTTTTAGTGTCACTTTCTGAAAATATAGTGTTAGTGGTGACAAGCTTCCTTKTAGGCAACAATTTATCCTTCTTGGAACAATCTGAAACACATTTACAGTTCTAAACCTTATGGATATGTTTTCTTTTTGTAGATTCACTGGTTTTCGATTTTCAATTCTTTTATGATGGTGATCTTTCTAGTTGGCCTAGTGTCTATGATATTAATGAGAACTTTGCGAAAAGATTATGCAAGATACAGCAAGGAGGAAGAAATGGATGATATGGTAAGATCTTCATTCCCACGTTARAAGCTCTTTTTTTAAGGCTTATTGTTTTCTTGTCATACATTCATTGTGTTAGCAGCTCTGAATGGCTTTCTTTAATTAGACAGAAAATTGCCTTCTGTGTGTCTTGAAAGTGTTACTGGTTTTCTTTATAACATGCCTCTAGATTGCAACCCAAAAAACGCTCTGTAGTCACTGTGTTAATGTTCATATCCAACCTTAGGATAAACTAAGTCAGTTCTGAATTTGTAATAGAGGCTTGGTGTACTCCTAAGCACCTCAGAGGATTTAGGGAGAGGGAGAGATTCTGATCGATTTTATTGTGTGATACATTCATGTAGTAATTTGTTGTTGCCTTCCATAAGCATCTGAAAAGTTAACTTTTCTCTCAGATCTAATGCATTCAGAAGAGAWGACACAGTTGCATTTGAAGTTGCTTTATTAAATCAGACCTTTCATTTGTATCTAGCTTGTGTGTTTGTCTTTAATTGTCATGACTAGACTTAAAATTTGTTGTTGTTGTTGTTCCCAGGACAGAGATCTAGGTGATGAGTATGGGTGGAAGCAGGTCCATGGAGATGTGTTTAGACCATCCAGTCATCCTCTAATATTTTCATCGCTTATTGGTTCTGGCTGTCAAATTTTTGCTGTGTCTCTTATAGTCATTGTTGTTGCAATGATAGAAGATTTATACACAGAGTAAGTATAATTGTGTCATGTCTTCCATATATAAATGTTTAAGTAAACAAAATACTTACAAAAATTAACGTTTTAACTGGCCTGAAAAAAGTATTTGCAAGTCTTTAATCGTACTCTGTAGATCAGATGTAGTATTAAGAAGTGCACTTTTAATTTGTAATGAAGCTTTGTCCTGCTGTTATCACTGTTATCTCGTGAGTCAGTCTCCTCTGACTTTCCCTTTTAGTGCTTGCTTTTTGAATGATTTATTAGTAAACTAGTTTTTTGTTCTTCAGAATCACAAGTAGATAATATGGGAAATATATGTTAAAAGGTCCATATTTTACTCCTGGTTTAATCCAGAGTGACAGGGTGTTACTGTATTTCTGGCCCTGTTTCCCCACCGTGTCTGTAAGGACTSAAGCAGGAGTGTGCTCTGTTGTGAATTGTTCTGTTTTCTGCTGATAAGTCAGTATTAAGTCAGTCTTACAAGTCTGCTTAGGAATGAAGATGTAATTCCTTAAGTTCTTTTGAACACATAGTGCTCAGCCTGTGTTGATGAAAAATTCCCAGCAGCAGGTRGGCTGTGGTCCTGACTGGAGAGAATTAATTTAAAGCAAAGAAATGATACTCAAGTTTAAATGTAACACACGCTTGTAGTTCACCTGTTTTCTTCCTTTACCTCTTAATCTGATTGAGGTTTTCGGGTTACTTGCTGGATTTCATCTGTCTCTGTAGTGATGATATTGGAGAAAATTATTGGCTTGTGTTTTGTTTTGTTTTTTTTTTTGCTTTTTTACAAGTGCGTTGTTTTAAGCAATGACTAAACCTTCACCTGTGAATATTACCTGTAACTTAATTKTAACAAGTTGTAGTACTTCTGATGTGCCACTAGAGAGAACTGTTGCTTTTGAATTTAGCGGCCTTTTAATGGTGTGTTTAAAAAGCCACTCTGTAGTAGCAGACTCTGGACATATTTTCATTTTTCATAGGTGTTATTCCCTTCCTAGTGCCCCATGGTTATATTTCTAGATAGGCATACATATGCACTTTTAATTGTGCAGCATGTCAGCCCTTCAGAGGACAAAATGAAAGCATTTCAGAATGTATGTGCCCTGTAGGGAAGCTGTAAGTTAGTAATGACAATTACAGAACGTGTCAGAACAGTATTTTTTTAAAAGGTRTGTGTGCTTAGTCTTTTATTGCAATAGGCCTTTCTATCACTTTCAAAGGGAATTTAATTCTGGGTGTGTAGTGGATCAATTGGCCAAATCTGGTGCAGACAATTCTTATGTTTAAGACATTTCTAAAAAGTCTGGTGTTTTTACTAGCAGCCTAGATTTATACAGTGGCAGTGCCATTTCAGGCTGTGCCTGCTCCTGGGGGATTTTCATGTGTTTCTAAATTGTCTTAAGTTACAAGAAGTTTTTAAGAAACAAATGTTAGYCAAACAGTTCTTTAGTGTGTGTGAGCAGCGGGTAAATTTGCTTTGGTCATACAGTCAGGAAAGCCYGAGTGCTAAAGATTGCTTCTTTGAGTGCATCAGGCATCCAGGAATGGTTATTCAAAAACTGAAATTGCAGTAACTAGAATCTCTCAGAGCAACTAATTTGAAGAAAGTATAGTAAGCTGGCTGAAAACCTACTGCTATTTGCTGCTCGGGAATAGCAGAGGGATGTGGGGGAACAACTCTATTAATGAATAACATTTATATCTTCCTATTCTTAGACATAATTTTTAAAAATGTATCTGGAAATGGCTTCTTTGATTTAAAATTATTAATTTTGCCTGTTAATTTTCAGAAAAATTATGCCAAAATTAGTAGCCCAACATTTAATGGGATGACATTTAAAAATTACTAAGCTCTTCTGATTACACTACTTGATGCTGATTTGTGACTTCATTATAGTATTTATAGTTTCTGAATCTAATTTTCTGCAAGATGAACACTTTCGATTTTAAAAGTTAATTTCTGAGGGATGGCATTATTCACAATCTTAGTGTATTTTTGTTAATACTGGCCTTTTGACATCRTATCTGCAGCTGAATCTTACACTTAATGTACTATGTAAATAGTTATTTATGCACAAAGTACATACATCCAAATGTCAKAATGTATTTATCAGAGGTGAGATTCTTTAGTGAAAATAAATGCATGTTAGAAAAGAATGTGGTRTGTCAAAAATCTTTTTGCCGCATTGAATTAGACTTGGCCAAAAGTTTTGTATACAAACAGTTCTCATTCCTATGCAGATTTTAAGCACTTTTAAACACTTTTAAACTTATGCACAGTTTAAGCACTTTTAAAYTTTTGTAATTTTTGTAAAATATTAAATAACTGCTTCTGCTGAAAATGCAGTAACTTTTTTGCTCTTRTCATGTTTGGTTTTGTATTTAATTTACCAAAAACATCCCTTTTTGTAGGAGAGGATCAATGCTTAGTACAGCTATATTTGTTTATGCTGCAACATCGCCGGTGAATGGATATTTTGGAGGAAGCCTTTATGCTAGACAAGGAGGTAAATTGTTTCCATGTTTCAGCATTTTCATTGCATTGTTAAATGGAGAAGTTACTGTTTTCTGATTTGCACCGATATAGAAATGTCCTCATGGAGTTAGGTCATTCAGATGGAGTCCATTGAATTCTTAATGAACAGAGAATATTTTGAGCATATTTAACTTCCATATTATCTATTCAGTCAGTATTGGCTACACTTTCTAAAAAAGTAACAAGCTCTTAATTTAAAAGAGCTAAAGAACTGTTAACAGTTTTAACTTCTGAATTGCATGTTGTATACAGTTTTTTTGGCTCATGACATCCAGAGTATAATAGCCTCTCCCTTTTGTGTAATATGTTAAACAGCTCGTGTCATCTCCAGATGACTCCTACATGGCCCTCTTCTGTGCATACTAGGGGGGTTATGATAAGATAACACAAAAAGGATCAGTATATTTACTAGACCATTAAAGAAGCTTGTTCTACTTTCTAGCACATGCTCTACTTTATACTTAGCAAATCAAAATGAGCATTAGTAGAGAGCAGAAGCCAAATAAAATTGACAGAAGATTTGAACAGGCTGTCTTCAAATGCTTCCCACTATGCCTCTGAGTTATGACCAATTAGATTCTTGCAGTCCACTAGCTTCATCCATTCCCTATCCTGCAGTAAAAAAATAATCAATGTCTATTATCTTCTGGAGTGCTTAGAAAAAATAATCCCAGTAAATTCACAGAAGAAAATTTGCATCTTTTTAGCAGGATACACCTGATAGTGTTCAGTTTCAACTGCATTTTGAGTTTGGAGGTTAGAAGTGTCTTTTCATGTGGCTTGTTTATAAACCTAGCAATTTGTACAAAAACAGATGCAGGTAGAGAATGGTTGTAGTGCTGAAAGGTACCATGYTCTGTATTTGAGCCAGATTGGCTTTTTTTTTTAAACAGATCAGATGTATCAAACTGGGAAATGCTGTTTATGTTGGCTCATGGTGAAAATACATATGATGGTCTTGAAAAAAACCCACCTTTTTAAACTGTTTTTATTTACTATATGTTAATGTCATGGTGTRTAGATACAGACAGCATTTAAGAGCACAGAAATGGGTATACAGATAGGGAAAATTGTTAAGGTATTGCAAAAGAGGGTTTCTTTGAGCTCCTCAGGGAGCTCTAAACTCAGTAATAACTGTTAATGAGTGTTACTGTTCCCTTGATGCTTGGAGTTTAGAAATCTCTTTCTTTCTRTCTTTTCTGCTGTTGAAGATGTCAAGAGTCCAGTTTTCTGTATATTAAAYGCTGTGTCATTTTGCTTTATACCAGGGATAGCCAGTTCCTTAATGCATGGTGAATGTGTGTAATGAGCTTGGGTGGATCAAGCCAACCCAGAGCAGGTGCTGCCTGGAAGCAGCTC